ATATCAGAATCGTGGAAACCATGCGGAGGCATTTCGGATTCAGGGCCTTTCCGACTTCCGTGTTAGTAAAAGATATCGCAAACTTCTTTCAGTTTCACAGGTTTTCTGCTGCTGCTTCCTGTATCGAGCCCTTTCGTCGCGTCGAGAGAGTTTCCTGACAACAAAGTAAGGAAAGAATATTCCACGTGGTAGCCATGTGGCTCTTGGTGAGTCAACCTTCTCAGGATCAAAGCTAGAAGGAAAGAAACGGAATCTAGGTTCGCCCTGTAGCGACGTCCGATTGGGTTTATTGAAATTAGCAGCGATTGGCCGTCGTCGAGAGCGTCCCGAGGGCCGACATCTTGTCATAGGGTCATCATGATCAGCTAGAATAGTCGAGTATTTCCTTTTGAACTTCAACAACGCGCAATGCCGCCATCATCTAGCATCATCTACGCCCATAATTCCAAGAAAAAATGATTACGGAACAGGTGTCGAATTGCGACATACGAAGCTCATGAATCGGCGGAAATTCATGATTCACGCGAAGTTGCCTAGCCCAGCGGAGTAAGAGTCACTTGTGGGGTGCGATTTGAAGTGATGAAGTGGCGATCGCGACAGAGTCATGTCCACTCAGTGTCCACCTGGCGTCATTTGACGTCGTTAAAACTGAATTCCATAGGCTAGATACGTTGATTCAACTTACTATACAAGGAAATATACTGACAAATTTCGACCAGTCAAAAGGTTCTCGAGCGCTCCGTTACCCACAGGTAGATTCCGATCTTACGGCAAAGAGCCGTTTTGAGCAGTATTTTCCCCACTATCATAAGTCTAGCTTTTAAAATCAACCTTTAAAGCAAGCAATAACGTCGAGAAGGTCTAAGTTGCTTTCGAATGTCCGCCTCCGTGGTAGAACTCAGACAGAAACCTGGATGGTGGCCAACAGATGATTCTATTGAGCTAGAGCCCGGAAACGACGACAGAGCCGAAAATTCAAAGAATAAGCTCTAGGGAGCCAAGAGCGGATCTTAGACGTATTCTTCTGTGATGATCCCACAAGTGTCGTGCGTATGTCGGAGAATGTGCGGAAAGCGTTCGATTTTGACTGGTGACCTCATGGCTCAGACTGTATAACGGGTGAGCGTCCAAATCAAAAGGAAAATATTACAAACGTACCCGCTATACTAAAGGGTATCGTTGTCGTCGTGTAACATTAATGGTATAGTATGAGCTGTGACAGGATTAAGAACAACTTGGGAAGGGAATATGAATCAACGCTCACGTGAAATTATTCAAGCTTCTCCAAGTCTTCTAACCGTGACAACACTACATCCTTACTCGTCTCCTCAATCTCCCCAGCAAGGAAGATCTCATCGAGAATCGCGTAAACCTTGAAGGTTCAATATAGGGTGGTAATGAATAGACTGATGTACACACCTTGTAGAAATTAAACACCAAGTCGAGCTCACAGACATTGTCGAAGAAAGAATCTGATCAAGTGAATTCAGATGAGTAAGGAATACAACATATTCCGGCATTACGCACCCAGTATCTCTACAAATAGGTGGATGGCTTCGAGATACGCGAGCTCGTTGTCATTCGCGTCGACGCAGAGGCAAAAGAATAGTCCTGCATATCGTCTGTACACGACCTTGTAATTCCGGAACTGTCGGCTTAGTTTAAGCAAGAGGCAAAACATCCTGAACAATTTGAGCCAGACCTCAACGAAGTTGGATTGATATTTTTGATCCCTAGGAGCCACCAGTCGATGCACTTCACCTCGTAGGCGAACCTGTCGTAGCCTCATCAGTTTCGAAGCTCGGCGTGATATAACCATGAGTTGACGTACCTTTTCATCGTCATCATAAGGGACATACCATTTCGATAATCGTGTTTTTCCTTGACGATTCTTTCGACACAAGTTGACTTCGGAGCCCACAGGACAATGAGCTCAACAGTTACTCACCTGTACGAGAATGAACCTGATCATGGTCAACGTTGCCAAGAACGGAGGTATTATTTTGTCTTGGATAGGTTTGACAAGCATCACCAAATACATTGAAACAACACGTCCGCCGATTCGGGCCGTCGCGTCGCTTGCTAGGTTTAAAAATACCGAACGAAGCCAGCCAATAAATAAAACATACATACAGCTTCCGAAATCAAGGAAAACGGCAACAAAAATTGATCAGTAGCACACACAACAAGCGAACTATTCAAAACATGTGGCTGAATAATTGCAGTAGTAAGTACGAAGCAAGCGCCGAGCGATGAACTCACAAAGTCACTGATATGGAAAAATATACCAAATTCTAGTGCGACTCAAGTTCCCTCTAGCCGACTTGAACGACTGACCTCGTCATGGATAAGGGGAACATCATCTGCTGATTCTGCTCCAGCACTTACTAGTGACGCGCTCTACCACTGAGCTAAGAGGGAATTGAAATAAACTAAAGACTGTGCATTGAACATTCTTAAAAGCTGATCGCCGTACATGGTTACAACCAGAACATTCTCCACAAAGGAGTCGTCA